CCCCCTAGTTCCCCCCGCCTTTACCCCCCCCCCCCCCCCATAAAAATCTATGTGGTACTATTATATATAATGTATCTACAACTGAAAATTGTATTGAAGATGAAATTCCATTTTAAATCAAGCGCATGTGAGAGAAGTGATTGTAGCTTTACTGTAATAGTTATATTTAGATCAAAGCACTGGTTTACATAAAGCTCTGTATTTTTTTATGTAAGTCTCCCTAACATGTATAACTACAGATCATAAGACCATGAATCTGAACGTGTTAAATTTAAAGATGCAATAGATCACAGTACTGAAGTACTGAAGATCACAGTACTGATATAATGGGGAAAAAAATACATTGGGGACATAGTTTTAAAACAGCATATGGCACTTTCACCAAACATTGTGACATCCATCAGTGGAAAAATATTTAGTCTGGGTGTTTACTGTTAAATATCTAATGTAACAGTAGAAAACTACAAAGTATCAAGAGTTCTGTGTTTGGTGTCCAGTGCTGTATTCTTCATAAGCAATATTTACAAGATTGTTTTATATTTTTTATTTGTTTTACCACATGTACACATGCTTGGGCACTTGCATCTAAACTGAACATGGAGTTGGCGAGGGGGCTGTAGAGAAGAGTCTTTAGACTCTTTGTAACTTAGCCATTGCCTCTCTTTCCTGCAGACTCTCGTGTAATGTACTGTCCAAAAACATAGGAGTCTATTCACAAAGCTGCCGAGGGCAGCCGAGTGAATGACCGATCAGAAGTGAAGTGAGCCGAACACTGGGGTCCTGGGGTCCTGGTGCCGAAGCTAGCCGAAGGATCGGCCGAAGCTACGGCCAGATCCTTCGGCAGCTTTGTGAATAGACCCCATAGTCTGCATGTAAAGTAGACATCATACTGCATCCAACAATACATTTTGGCTTTAAACTATGAAATAATATTCATGTAACAAAATTGCTGATAAAAATAGAAGAATCTTACTAAAAGGTCCTCTAGCCTAGATGTGTTCCAAGGATAGCTTGGCTCTGTCAGAGAGTGGACTGAAGAAACACTTTGCGACAGAGCCATTAGGATTATTACTTAGAAAAATGCAGGGTCTATAATGAATTTAGTTTTAAAGGGCAAACAAATAATGCATATAAGCTCTTTTCGGCTGGGTAGATTGCCTTCTAGACCCCACTAGGATATCCTTGTGTGTATCTAAAATCTATTTTGTATCTATAGCTTGCAATTCAACATTAATGGACCTCTCCTCCCACAGGTCACCCATGCCAAGATGGCGATTCTAAGTGTTTATTGCCAGGCTGCACTGAGCCATGTGCCAATGACACCAACTGTGAAATACCTCAAAACAAAACCAACTGCAGTATGTACATTACATTTTACTATAATTTTTCCATCAAGTACTATTTCAGGCAAACAACTAAATGCAAAGTTGAATACATATATGATTACTAACTTACCTGCCAAAAGATTTGTGATTTTGGCCAGTCATGTTGTGACATGCACACTATTGCTAATCAGTAAGATTACTCTACTCCTTCCTAGCTTACAATTATTACTCTTTGATGCTTCCAAGGTCAGCTCCCTGATCACTGAACTGAGTTAAAGTGACACTAAACTCAGGAGTTAAGTCTTAAAAATACATTCAAGTACTTTAACTATTAACAAACATGTATCTTATTTGTGTATCACTCGGCTGTAGATCCTCAAATCATCTCTGAATTGGTGCTGACACTGTCCTTCCTTCTTGAGGGTGGCTACTTTTGTTCCCCATGGTCCCCGTGTGTGTTGTAAAATAGCCACCACTCCTGTGATAGACCAGGCCTTCTTAAACTTTCTGCACCCGTGACCCCTTTTTGGCCGAGGAAATTTTTAGGGGACCCCAGCATCGGACGGTGTCTCTCCCCTCTTTCCCTCAACGTCGGTGCCCCATCAGATCGCGACCCCCCTGTTCACTTGTGGGACCCCATATGGGGTCGCGACCCACACTTTAAGAAGCACTGTGATAGACTACAATCTCACGTTTCGTTAATAATTTCTATTGAAGGTATAGTATATCACGGTAGCATTCTTGGAGTGGTGGCCACTGGGGAAAATGGGGAACAAAAGTAGCCACCTTCCAGAAGGAAGGACAGATTTAGCTGTCAGTTCAGAGATGATTTGAGGATCTACAGCTGAGTGATACACAAATAGGATACATTTTATTAATGGCTAAGGTACTTGAATCTATTTTTAAAATGTAACTTCTGAGTTTAGTGTCCCTTTAACTATGTTAATTCACTGTCCAATGTGGAGGCTGAAGGTGGAGAGGTGACATTGTTTCATCAGGAACTATGTGTAACAGTGTATGTTACCCCTTACATTGTAATTCCAAAAATGTGTGTGTGGTTCAATGAAATTGTGTGTTTTTATAACTTGTTCACGTTTTACATGCTAGTTTGCATTGAGATTTCTGGTGATCCTGCCGGACACTTTGCTTTGCTGTTGCAAACTGACCACACCAAGCATGGAAGCAGAGCTGTGCTGGCATGGTCAGCTCCCTCTTTGGAGTTACAGGATGTGGTGCAGACGCACAGCATGCCTGTATCTCCATAGTCTGTTTCCTTGTCATGTTTTTTTAATTATTTATTTATTTTTACTGCTAGGGGGCTTCGGGGAAATATCAGAGATCTAAACAGACCCCTGACATTTCCATAAAAAAATAGAGAAAGAAATTGAGGACACAGAGTCCTCAATCTGTTTTTCTGCAGACTTTGTTCTAAATGAATGAAAATCACTCAGTACAGAGGCTTCCCATTCATTCAGAAAATGTCTACTATCAACCAGTTATGAATGGGGAGTAGCCTCTGTATTGATGTAAAGCACTTCCTGTTAATTCATAGCTGGGGACTCATAGTACTATGTGTCCCCAGTTATTTACAAACAATGGAGTTATCAGCTGAGCACTCCAGTGTTTGTGCTGCACACAGAGGATCAGTAAATATCACAGATATTTACCGATCCTGACATGACAGAGGATCTAACTCCCCACCGCTCTATCCAAACGTTAACAAAAAGTTTTGTCTTTAGTTATACTTTAGTTATTGTTAATGGATTAGCCCAATACAGACAGATGGCTTATGAGTTTACTTGGCCTGTAGGCTGACCCTCACATGTGAACAAAGTTGGCCATTGACAGTAGAGAGCAGTCTTTTTCTGGGCAATGGTGGCTGGAATAGGAGCCGCTAAGGATCTAATAGTTACGGGCACATGGCAGTAGAGGGTGTCACTTCCCTGGTAAAATGCTATCAAAGGTTGCTGCAAACCACTAAGAGGAACTGCTTGTCTCCTTGCATGGAGGCTGGGCAGAAACTCTCAATGTTGCTCAATAAAGGCAAAGTGATGTGACCATTAACTCACATGGTAAAGAAACCACGCTCTGCCTTTTGCCTGACCCCGCACAGTCTTACCCTCCTCCTTTTCCAAACTACCAACAAATGGCTTCTAAAATTTCTGAGAGAACCCCCTCAAATCAAGATGCTTTTGTGTTAAAGGCACAGGGCATCTCAGGAGTGATAAAGCGCTGCTACTATGTATTAATTTTTCCTATAAATGACACAGTAAATTGTTTCTTGTTGTAGAAACAATATTTCTCCTAAATAGGCTTTCCTGAGGTACTAAATGTCAGTTATGTATTCTTTTACAAATGGATCCTGACCATATGATTTACTGCCTCCTTGTGCGTTACACACGCCTGAGTTATGCAACAGCACTGACAACTGAGTAACTCATGAAAGAAAGCAGTTGTATAGATACAGGAAAGAAAACTCCAGCCGTCAAAATAACATGTTTCCTGGGACCTCGTCTGCTTCTGGGACTGGGACCATCTGCCCAAACAGCTGTGACACAGAACATGAATGGGGCTTCCCTAGAAGTTACACATTCGCTGCATCTGTGGACTGTGACTAGAGCAAATAAACTTTGTCCTAAAGCAAATGAGGCTGGAGATCATTATAGCAATAGTCCATAGCGTAAACAGTTTTTAGTTGCTTACTGTGTGTTATTCATTTTCTTATTTATACTGAATTACCTTCCTTTCCGTTCTTTACAATTCTTGTTGTGTGAACCCCACCTACTCTTTCGCATCTTACTGGTTGCTTTTGGTAATGTGGTGATACACAAAATGCTACCTCAAGTCTTCTAAACCTGAATGTGAATTCCAGACATGCAAAGTTTATCACACAGCTTACATACGCTAACAGGTCAATTCACTAAAGGGTGAAGTTGTTGTCCTAGATTGTTCACTTCTCCTGCCTTCTCCAACTCTTCACCCATTAGTGAATAAACCTGTAAACCTCCAAAGAGAAGCAATGCATTCGGAGAAGACCCTTTTTTAACATTAGGGCTACGTGATAAGGCACAGTTCTCCTAAGGTTCTGATGCAAATGTGAAAGATATTATACTTACCTGAAAAGGACCTCTGCAATGACCTTCATCATGTGGTCTACCAAGAGATATGCATCCTTTCTTAAAGTACAGCTGTGGACAGGCTATGGATATTCAAGTGGTAAATAACCTTTATAACAAGCCCTTACTGACCTTTGTAGTTGTAGATACTGTGGAGCAAGTCATCTTCAAAGTTCACAGCAGAAGCACTAATATCATGTTCTAGTCTGTTTTTCGGTGGATGAAGCTTCCTTCTGCTTATTCTCCCTGCAGTGACATGGCAGCCTTCCATCCTTCTAATTTGGATACAAATCACCTTATATTGCTTACCAGAACCTTACCATCTTGTCTTGAATTGTATTGTAATGTTTTCCTTATATTGTAAAATGCTGCGCAAACTGTTGGTGCTATATAAGTCCTCTATAACATAATATTGATAATAATAATATTGCTTACCAGAACCTGTTCTTTGTTTACATTAAGAGGATGGAAGGCTGACAAGTTACTGCTAAAGCTGCTCAGAAACAAACTAAAACCCAACTTTAGTGCATCTCTTGTTACAGTGGAACTTTAAATGTTCTTTCTACCAGCAATGTTTTTTTTTTAATTGACACTAAGCCACAAAGGTGCAACTCAGTGTACAACCCAAACATCTACAGGTTGCTGGGATGAACTAACAACCATGTGCATGCACTGAAGTTCCTTTAGCTTTATCTGGCCAATAAAGAAAGCCAAAGACACCAAACCCAGAAGTAGAAAAGAAGATGTCAGCAGCACTAACAGAGCAACAAGTGAAATCATACCCTTCACAGCCCTGAATGTGGGCAATTTGGGAGGTGAGTCTGCCTTAATGTGCCAACATGCTGTGCATACTTTCACACTATGAAATAAACCTTGGGCACCACCAGTATAGTTCAATTTTGCTCTTCATTTGTGTCACTGCAGCTACAAAGGTCAGTGGGGGGCTTTAAAGCTTATTTACTGCTGTGAAGAATGGGCACATACTTAAGCATCCATAGCCAGGTCATGTGTTTGATTAAAAATACTTCCAATGCCCCATTACACACCCAGCATATGGTTGGTTACACACACGAGAGACTTAAACAAGTTGTCAGTGGTGTGTGCCAATTCCACAATGAAGACTGGAAAGATTTGCTCAGAATAGGCAGAGATTGCAGCTGGGAACAGTGCACTGAAAGTGCACTTTTCCTTTGAACAGACACTGTCACCTTGGCCATGTAGAGCAAAGTGAGTGTCTCTGCAAACGACATCCCCCAAACCCCTACACACACCTTTTCTGAATCCCTTGAAGCTCCTTGCATTTAGGGGAGCTGTGATCTCACGTCTCTCTCTATACAGTATATAAATGTAAATGGTGTTTATTCGAAGGAATAGGGAATAAACATTTCTTGTGATGTATTACTAAAGTTGTGTTTTTTCCTATATTATAATATGTCAAGAAAATGTTTTCCTTTTCTTTCTCACGTTGCTACAATTTTAGGTCAATGCGAACCAATAAGCCTGGAGCTGTGTATGAATCTACCCTATAATTATACACATTTCCCAAATTACCTTGGCCACAGGACTCAAAAAGAAGCCTCCATAAGCTGGGAGTCCTCCCTCTTCCCAGCTCTAGTTCAGACCAATTGCTACAAGTATCTCATGTACTTTGCTTGCACAATCCTGGTACCAAAGTGTGATTTAGAGACAAACCAGCGGATACCACCCTGCAGGTAATGCCCTTTACAGGAATATATTAGGAGGTTCCTACTTGCTTTATGATAACTCCTTTAAAAAATATATTGTTTTGAATAGAGAGGGTTGCCTTGAATGCATTCCATGAAATGTTTTTACACATTGGCTTGTGTCATGATGTAATGCATACGATTGGCGTACTTCTGAATTATGCCTTCCCAGAACACTCTGTGAACATTCAAAAGAGCGATGCGAATCTGTACTGGGTATTGTTGGACTACAATGGCCAGAGGACACAGACTGCAGTCAGTTCCCTGATGAGAAGTCAGATAATCAGACTTGTCTTATGCCTGATGAGGACGTAGAAGGTACATTTTAATACTCTAATATTGTAGCAAATATTTGGTTGTATGCATTTGGGTGCTTTTTCTGTCTGCCATACTGTGTTAAAACTCATCAAAAGAATGGCAAGGAATGACCCCACTGTTATGCAGTGATGCCATGGCAGAATAAGTTCCTCCACTAACTATAGTAGCTTTGTTAAACTATCTATATATGCATCTCTGACCTTCATGGGTGCAAAAAAATACACTTGCATTGTGAGATGACAGTTTTTATTTGTATATGCACATAATATATCAGCCTTTAGTTTTACGATTTAGAAGCAGTGCTGCTATCAGTTTACAGGTGGCTTCACGAGGCTTTTCCACTGCAATTCTGATATAAAAACAAAATGAGTAAATTTAGATTTAAAAAATACACAGGTATGGTATATAAAATAAAACTGTATTATAAATGAACGAATCTATCTATAAATAATTTATAAAAACATTCGGTGAGGCAGCCATCACATGGGGGGAGGGTTGCTGTCTTTGTCCTTTCCAGGTAATTGCCCCATTCTGTTCTTGTTCTGGTTACAACATTGTGGTCACTGTGGAAGGAAATGAGGAGACATTACCAGCGGGAACACAGGCAATGCTAAAAAGCAGATTCTAGTCTTTCTTTACCCTACTAATAAAACTGAGGCCACAGACATTGGGAAAAAAAAAAGAATGAAAAAAAAAGGTTCATCTAGACTAGAGTATAAAAGCCAGCAGACAGACCAAGTGATGATGTCGCTGGGTCTTAAAGGAGGTATTTCTTAAAAAAAAAAAAATTTGATTCAAAATTTTTTATTGGATGTTGATCGAGGGGAATGGGGAACAAGGGAAGGTATTACATGCATACATTCCACTTGAAATGTAATCATGGTTCCTGGTAAAGATGGACAATAATACATGTAAATATTGCACATTCCCTCATGGCAAATTGTCTGCTTGGCAGGGTTAATGTTTTTCCAGTACTGCTGTGTAAAGAAAACACTCTATGTAGTGCTAGTGTGTATTGAGCGATTCTAACTAATGCAAGTTTTGCACAGAAATCCCCAAAGCATTCAACAGTCATCAGGAAGCTACTATAAGAAATTTCTTTTGGTACTTATGTATACTAGAAATGTTTTCTAATCTTTAGACCAACATCAAATGGAATTTCATTGGTTGCTAAGGATGCAACACCATTTCATTTTTGCGGGTTTCCTAAGTGACACTATTTATGTAGAGGCAGGGAAGCAAAGTAATCGGCTTTCTAAATCATATTTATTATCTTCATATGCTATGTTTAATGACTGGTGTAAACAGGGAAATGAAGTTGCTTCAGTGACACAGCTGGAATGTTTCAAAAATAGCAAAACTCCTTGTGGTTTAATCTTATCTTATGTTCCTTCAGAATGTTCACCCAGTCATTTCAAGTGCCTCTCTGGCCGCTGTATCTTGGCATCCAGGAGATGTGATGGAGAGGCAGACTGTGAAGATGACAGCGATGAAGCAAACTGTGGTATGTAACAGCCGGACTACATGGGCTGTAATTGGGGTGTATATGACCGTAAAAATGGGTTTCTTAACACTGTGCTTACATCAAATAGAAAGTTTTAAATTCTCCAGCTATATAGGTGATACGGCTAGCGCTGTACGTTTTGAGAAAATACATTCTAATAGGGGCTGAGTGCCTTTAGTTCAGCAGCTTCCCTTACCCTTCTAGAACAATTAAATTTCACACAATTTTTATCTATTCAAACTTTTATTCACATTTTATTATTTTTAGTATTCCCAATTTCCAATAGCGCAAGTTCTTGCAATTACTATATAGGTGATACGTGATGCATTTTTTCATCAGTATTTCCAACATGGAAGGCTCACTACACATATAGGACCTAAGTATGAATATAGTCTCATACCTTTGGAAGTGGAGCTACACAACTAAGCAAAGCATTTGCCTGTGGTAATGGAGCTAAACTCCTGAGCACAGCATTTGCCTGTAGTAGTGGAGCTATTCTCCTGAACATTGCATTTGCCTGTGGTAGTTGAGCTATACTCCTGAGCACAGCATTTGTCTGTGGTATTGGAGCTATACTCCTGAACATAGCATTTGCCTGTAGTAGTTGAACAATACCCAGGGCCAGATTTCCCACAAGGTCAACCGAGGCCCGGCCTCAGGGGCAGCAGGGAGTAGAGGGGAAGCGAGGGTGAGGAATTACTATCTCCCAACGCTCGGGGCATGCAGTTCCAGGTGCCGGGCGGGTAGTTCTTTTCTTCCTTTAGCCCTGCTTTGGGTAAGCAGAGCTAAATGTACAACAGGGAAGCTGCTGCTTGTTCTGTAAAAGTGCACTGATATGCAGCCTGCATACAAGGGGGCACATTGAGGAACCTGGCATTTGGGCAGCAGAGAGAGTAAATCCGGCCCTGGCAAAACCCAGAGTACAGCATTTGCCTGTGGTAATGGAGCTATACCCCTGAGCACAGCCTCTGCCTGTGGTAATGGAGCTATACTCCTCAGCACAGCATTTGCCTGTAGTAGTCGATCTATACTCCTAAACATAGCATTTGCCTGTAGTAGTCAAGCTATACTCCTGAACATAGCATTTGTCTGTGGTAGTGCAGCTATACCTTGAGCACAGCATATGCCTGTGGTAGTTGAGCTATACTCCTGAGCACAGCATTTGCCTGTGGTAGTTGAGCTATACTCTTGAGCACAGCATTTGCCTGTGGTAGTTGAGCTATTCTCCTGAACACAGCATTTGCCTGTAGTAGTCGAGCTATTCTCCTGAACACAGCATTTGCCTGTGGTAGTTGAGCTATACCCTTGAGCACACCATTTGCCTATGATAGTCGATCTATACTCCTGAGCACACCATTTGCCTGTGATAGTGGAGCTATACTCCAGAGCACAGCATTTGTCTGTGGTAGTTGAGCTATACTCTTGAGCATGTTTGCTGGTGGTAGTTATGCTATACCCCTGAGCACAGCATTTGCCTGAGGTAGCGAGCTATACTCCTATGCACACATAAAACAAAATTAGATTTTAATAAATGTGCCAGTGCCCCTTAGCACTTTCTCTTTCTCTTGAGGTTCCTGTGCCCAGTGAGGTTCTTATCTCAGTGGAGATTGAGGTTTGAATGGTTGGTATGGGAAACATTTCTACTTTGTTGCCCTTTTTGATGTGCAACAATTATTTAGATCTATGTTGAATGTGCACTGTAATGTGCTCTATAGTTTTATGCTTGGATGTTTCTACATGGGGTGCATACAATACAACTCACCCTAGACGATGAGGTCATGGGGCTCAGAAAAGTCATATTTGTTTTAATTTTTCAGCCAAAATCACTTCAGAACCAAAGTCTCTCTTTGCTTCATATGCCTATTTCCCATATAAGTTGTTTGAGCATCCCGTAGGCTTTTAGGCTAAAATTAACGACATTCCACTGTTTGTCAAGAGCTGAATGGCACCGTTCCTGGTTATTGTATGAGATTTAAAGTGGACCTTTACCCACATCTTTAAAATAACAACAAAGACATCTTTAGAAATGTTAAGTATTGACAATCTACAATCAGATAATTCTAGATATTTGCAGGCTTTGTATTCGTTGCATACATTATTATTTTTCTTTTCTTCCCCAGTTTTCTGACAGTGGCCATGTTTACTAAGGCCACATTACTAGCTCTCCTTTTACTTCCCGGGATTATCTGGCACATGTGACTAGACACGTGACTAGCACATGTGACCATGCACATCATCTCAGGGGAGAAAAATGCCTTTCTCTGAGATCTCATGAGATTACAGATGAGATTTCCCAGCAATGCTCTGCTGATGACAAGGCAACCCCAGTGTGCATTGCTTTGGCAAACTGAAGTAATTTTGCTCTTTCACAGCAGGAAGTGAATCGTCTGCAAGTGTAAGTATTTCACAATCACAGCATTTTACACCTGACATGTCTATGTTATTATTAATCATCATACATATGGGGATGCATTGGTAGAATTTGAGTGTAAAGGTCCGCTTTAAGAGGTCCCTGTGCGGATTTCGCTCTACGCCTTGTGGATTTTTAGTTACAGCTCTGTGCATCCCATTGTACACAAGTATTGCCTCAATGTGGTCCAAGCTATTCCTGGGTGACATCCAGTGTTCCCCATCAAGATGAATAGGGGTTCTTATTAACGTGCTAATAAGCGTCAGTCAGTTCTTAGGGGGCATCATGCTTTGTGAAGATGCAACCAATCTATGTAAGTCTTAAAGGAAGAAACTTGAAAACTGCCAATGCTGACTTCTCCAGTTGCTATACCTAGCTGTCATACTGAGCCTTTGGCTTCAGGACCTTGAGTCAATAGCCCAGAAAAAAAAATACAGATCAGGAATTATAAGTTAACATTGTCTTTTTCTGATGTGTACGCTTGTTCAAGCCAGTGACTTGAAACGTATTCATGCCAGTGAGTTAGCATAATAGCCAAGCAACTAGCATTTTTAGGTGAAGGTCAACAGTGGCAGCCCCTATTTTTCTCATGATGGGTTTACTATTGCACTTCTGCATTATGCTAAATAAAATGCACTTTTAAGCACACCTATCTTTTGGGAAATGTTGGTGTTATCTGATGTTGAAAAGTAAAAATGTTTTATGCTGTACATGAATATTTCTCTTTTAATACAGGTGTCTAGTGTTTTCTCCATAAACCTAAGCTGCTCACAAAGCATTGAACAAAGTGAAATTCTGAACAAAGCTGTTACTTATTTCCTACATACAATTTGCTGTAATCTTCCATCTAATGCAGACCACATAGCATAGAAATGTAATGCTTTTATTTGCAGAACTCTGGATAAAACTTGCTTTCAAGAAGATAATCAAATTTGTTTTGAAAGCCTTGTTTTGCTTCCCACTTCCAGTCAATTCTTATGAATTTCTATAAATCTGTAAGGCAGTGCAGCAGCTGGAAAATTACCAGTGTCACCGTGACATTTGTGTGACCGCCGCAAAATGTGCTGTAGAGGAACTGTCTGTCCCTCACAGCTCAAGGTCTCATTCATATTCCATGTTGCAAGAAAGACGAACATCTCCTTGCTCTCTATCCAAGTCGGTCATGTCTCTATTACCATAAAAGGATTGAGATAGATTGATATCTAATTCTATTACATTCAATATGATGCTTTGAAGCGGCAAAACATTAACTTAAAAATATTTTATTGCTGGCAAATGAAGCCAGGTGCTGCGTTGTATTTATCCATTTACAATGTCACTGAACATCCATATGTGTCTTTGAAGGTAAATAATTACTATTAAATACATTCCTTCCTTTCTAACCACCTAGAAATCTTTGGCGCACTTCTAACCTTACTTTTTGTATGACTCCATGCCTGAGATGCACATCAGAGCTGTATTAGCTCCTTGACTGTGGTATACCAGGGGCTGCCACAGGAGATTGCAGTTGGGATTTTTAGACCTGCTCATACATACTAGAGCCGGATTAACCAAAAGCCAGCATGTCTTTGGTGTGTGAGGGGAAACCCAGAGTGCCCAGAGGAAACCTACATAAGCATTCTCAATGCAGGTAGTGTCCTGGGTAGGATTTCAACCAAGGACCCAATTGCTGAAAGGTATAGGTGCTAGCCACTATGCCACTGTGCTGCTGTAAATCAGTTATACACATGAGTAAAGAACATTTACAATGATAAAAAAATCTGAAAATGTTTTAGTGCATTCCATTTAGAAAATAATATTTTGCACTTATACTGACTCATGTGGCACAGCCTACCTGCTGAATAGCTATTTTGCCCATCCTGGCATTTACCTTCTCTGTACCTGACTACATTTCTAGATTAATCCCTTAAATTGCTTATAGATAAAATACTTATATTGTTAATAGGCCTACATCTGAGCAAGTTAAAATACAGGGGTGTTCATGGTTCCAGCACAGCCCAGTAAGGCCTCTAAAGCATTGCTTACAAACATTGTAGCATGAGATTGAGGTTGCACACCACAAACACATTTGTTAAAGGGATACTATATTGTAAATACTGCCCCATGCATTCCTTCAGTTGGTCCCATGACATTAGAGATAATATAAACAAGTACAGGGGATGCCTGAGGCAGCATCACTGTGCCATTGATCAGACGTTCTACTGACTGCTGTGAGGGATCTTATGTGTTCTCCTCTAAGCTGGTGTGTTCTGTATGAGTACACCAGTAAGTCTGACCAGTAATATAGGGCTGTAAAACAGGGGGCAGAATATAATTTTTTTTACCACGAACCAAGTTTAGCTATTCCACCATGTGTGCCACCATACTTTAAGAATTTTAAGATATTAATCAATTTTTAATTCCTTTAGGATAGCCAATTGTGAAACATGTTTACTACATGACTAAGTATTTACGTGCTGTGGGGAAGAATATAATATAATTGAGTTTTGTGAGTTTTCACTCAAAAATCAAATTCTACCAATGCATCCCTATATGTATGATGATTATTAATAACATAGACATGTCAGGTGTGAAATGCTGTGATTATGAAATCTTTACACTTGCAGAGCATTCACTTCCTGCTTTGAAAGAGCAAAATGATTTCAGTTTGCCAAAGCAATGCACACTGGGATTGCCTTGTCATCAGCAGAGCATTGCTGGGAAATCTCATCTGTAATTTCACGAGATGCTTTGTATTCTTTGTATGCAAAGAATACAAAGCAGGCAATTATCTAGAAGTATGTGTTTGTAGATTGTCATTACTAAACATCTCTAAGGGTGTCTTTGTTGTTATTTTAAAGATAAGGGTAAAGGTCCACTTTAATATAAAAAGAGAGTATATTTTTTTAAAGCATCTTAAAGAATCCAGATGATGCAAAAGAAATGCTTGCAATGCAGGTTGTGCAAAGTTAGGACCCCTCTGTGATTCTGATATAATATTATTGGAACCATCTGATTCCTATATGTTTTTCTCACCCTTGAAGGCTGCACGGAGAGAGGTCTGTGGGAGTGTCCAGGAAGTAAGATATGTATCAAGTATTCGATGATCTGTGATGGCTTTCCCGATTGCCCCGAACAGCTAGAAGAGAAAAATTGTTGTAAGTTGTTTACAGTTGTTATATACATGATGACCTGTAAAGACATATAATCAAGCAAGTCCATTATTACCTATTATTTCTACAGCCTCTTGCACACATAATGAACTGGAATGTGCCAACCATAAGTGTGTATTACGTGACCAGTGGTGTGATGGTCGATTAGATTGTACTGACAGTTCTGATGAATGGAATTGTGGTAAGTATGAGGCAATTAAACGTACCTAATTGAAGACCCAGAGTGGCAGTTCAGCAACTCAAGCACGTGCCAGAATGGCTGATGTGTGTTGTTAGACCAGTGGTAGGCAAACTCTTGCCCTCCAGCTGTGGTGAAACTACAAATCCCAACATTCATCTGCCTCTGGGAGTCATGCTTGTGGAAGTGAGAGAATTGCAATGGGATATGTAGTTTCACCACAGCTAGAGGGCCAGAGTTTGCCTACCCTTGGTTGACACAGATTTACAAAACACAGGGGTTGGCGAACTCTGGCCCTCCAGCTGTGGTGCAACTACAAATAACATTAAGCAATGCAAGACTCTGACAACCACAGGCATGATTGCCTGGAGAAGATGCATGATGGGATTTGCAGTTTGAGAGATACTGTTATGGGGAAAAGACACTTCTAAATCAGCCCAAAAAAGCATCTAAAAAAGAATGTGTTGGTGTTTTTTTACACATCAAAGAATTTTCTAGTAAGGCTATGTTCACACTACATGTGGTGAACTGAGTTTTTTTTTTGCAGAAAAACACAGGTCACCACTAGGCCACATAGCTTTCTATGCACCCATTCACAGCAACGCTGATGTGATGTACGGTGTGGAAAATTGCAGAGAGCACACTTTAAATCACCAGAGGTCACTGCAGACCAGCCTATCGGGCTGCTTTGTGCACCCCTCAATGGAGTGTACACTTTTTTTTTCAACAAAGTTTAAAAAAGAAATGTTGTGATCCTTGTCTCAGCAGCGCCCTATATTGAAGGACTTGTGTGTGAGAATGGGATATGAGCGAGTATGGTGACTGTGTATATGGAACCGTCGCTGAAATTTTCTACAGATTTTTAACATTTTGTTTACAACAGTTGAGATTACTGGATGTTAATGCAAAGAGCTATACTAAGTTCTACAGCTCTGCAACGCTGCAACCCATAACAGCTAATGGGACTGACATATGTTGACGTCATATCAGTGAATGATGTATTCTGATTAGTCTTTGCACAATAAATAGGCTGAAAAAGTTATATTTGGTAGCACCTTTTCAGCATCACACCAATACAGGGAATTACTCTAATATAGTATTGTACATGTCATTAACTTTTCTGCATTTTTATATTTCAGTCTCTGTCTCTAGCAATATGAGCTCCATGACATCCTTGGTCATTCACAGATCAGCTGACAATTACTACGTCTGTGCTGACGACTGGGAGGAAGAGCTGTCTCAATGGGTCTGCAAGCTAATGGGTTTAGGGTAAGGTCAGTAGTGTGTAGCAATAATAAATATTATGGGCTGTTAAAAGATTTGATACATTTTTGTATTGTTTTGTTCATTTGGAATAGTGACATTTTCTGAAATTGGTAACAGGAGCGGTACCCAAAATTGATTTCTTGGGGGTAAGGTTAATTTTCCCCATTGATTAATTAGTGCGGTCAAGCGCCAACTAAGCAGTTGTGACGGGCTGCAGCTAGTTCTTTACAGGGAACCTACAGTGGTCACTGAACTCTATAATTCTATAAAAATGATCATGATGCGATAATTCTGCTCTTGGCTTCCTATAGTGGATGCCCCATAAGAATCGACTAAAAGATGATGTATCAGAGACTAGTGTAGCAATAATCTTACAAAGGGGGAGCTGCATAAGAAATCCCTAAAGAAAGAACATCCCTTGTCCCTCTGTGTGAGTAGTGAGAATGATTAAAATAAAGCTGCCCATACACCTATAGATTATCTGCAGATTTCTATGGTCAGATGGAAAAAGTGCACCAGATTCCCCCAGCTACACTAAACTCTGTGGATGGAGGAATCTCCCCGCTGGCTGTCAAAATAGCTGAGGAATCTGATTGGATGCAGGCATTGTTCAGGTATTTTGACAGCCAGCGGGGCCGACTAGCAAGATACAAGCTTGGCCCAGTGGGAGATTCCTCCATCCACGCAGTTTAGCGTACATAGAAGGATCTGTTTTTCCATCTGACCATAAAAAATCTGCAGATAATCTATAGGTGTATACCCGGCTTTACTCATATGTACTGCATGCCTGTTGCTCTATACTTAAAATGTTGACAAAGCATGTAATTTGGAAATCATGTGAACTTTGCCCTGAAAAGTAGAAGAACAGAACAAGTGAATTACCAGGAAAGTATACAGTAGTTTGTGGGGCATCTTTGAGCACAGCAAATGACCCTATTCCAAGCCTGCGTCTGAGAAGAGTTGAGAAAGGGGCTGCACCCACTTCTGACAGTCCGATTCTACAAATTACACTGATAAACTGACAGTCCGGTTCCACTCTGTGTATTAGAAGTGCTGAGAGAAGCTACTGCAAGCAGCATCTTCAGGTTTCATTCATAAATACATTGCAACAATTTTGATAAAGATATATTTTTGTCAATGAAATTACACAAAATAACAAATTGCCTCTATTTAATTAATAAATAATTTCACAGTGCTTTGTTCTAGAAACATAATTTAAGTGTCTTTATAAAAGGAACAAATCACAAAATAAAATGTGCTTTTTTGGTAAGCTAAACATCCTTGGTTTCCGGAGAGAAGAATACATTTTGATTATCATAATATTAAGGAAAAGGGTCTGTTTTTCCATGCTCATTATGACTAAACCACACTGGATCAAACATATCTCAACACCGCTATCCAATTCTTCATGGACCAAAAGGGAGCAGTGATGGGATGGTGGACAGCATTTGTCATTTCTGCGCCTGCCCAGCCACTGTTCATGCAGATGTGCAAGTCACAGTTTGCTATTTTCACCTTGGGTGCCAGAGGACTTTTAGGGTTTCTATAAGGGGCATGAAATAAGACAGGTTGGACAGGTTTACAGCCAGCGGCCTGTTCTTCCCTCATGGTAAGCATGGTGCATGTTTATATGGTGCATGTTTCATTTAAAAATGTCTTAATATTTTTATAGCACCTCTATCATATTTTGTATTTCAATTTGGGTATTGTCATGAAACTTTGTTTACAGATCATGCTGGGCTTTCTAATGCAATATTTCCTATTTATCTGTCTGAAAAATAAAACAATGCAAATGGTAATATTTTGGCCCAGAAGAGAATATATTAAAAAATATACAAACACAGTGTATTCCCTTTACATTTTGGTCCCCCACCCCTTCATTACAGCAGAGAGTAAGGGTCAGGAATGACGTAAGGGTCAGCAGCGAGAGATGCCGGGGACCGAGAAGATTGACATTCCTGGAAGTGTCAGTTTTCCAGTGAACTTTGGGAGACCATTTATACTGAATGACTGGTGTTGGTTGGTGCAAGCAAAGGTGAGTGAACGCTCTTTTAATTTTTGAGGTTTTTCAATGGCAGCCCTCATGAGGGGTTTGGTTTAGCATATATTTTCTATATGAGTTTATATATTGCCGGTATGGCAATATATTGAATAGGATCTGGGCACCTGAAAACCTATGTAAGTAAAGAGGTCCCTAGCACACTTTCAAGCTAGCCAGCCAACTAGCCAGTTTTGTATGCTGTCCTGCCTATGTAAACTTTTTAAACAGATCTCTTCGGCTGCCAAATTTGATTCTATGTAAATAATGTGCACATAGTGAAGACACATAGCAGCCAAACAGATTTTGATTGACTGCCGTACTGACGAGTTAAAAAAAAACAAAAAAAACAAATTCTGATTGGTTGATATAGAGGGGTACTTTTTGCAACAAAAAACTAATTCTGATTGGCTGATATAGAGGGGTACTTTTTGCACATAGAGGTCAAAGTGTAAAACTGGAACAAAGAAACCTGCAGATTTTTATTTTTTAATCAGAGGAAAAATGAAAAGTGACATCTGATTGGTTACATGGGGTGATCAATCTCTGGAGGTTTTAATTTTGCCTTCCCTATTAAAATAGATTTATTGCCATGTAATTGAGTGATGGTTACAGAAGGAGCTTTGCAGCCAGAGAAAAAATATTAGGGCATCATTTCGGAGTAGAACTGTATTGTGGCAAATCTTATTAGCATCCTCCACACAGGTCCTGGCAAGGTTTAGAAGTGATAATCATTTAATAAGCTTGGAAAGGATTATAAGAAATACAGCATGCAATACACAGACTAAGATCTGGGCAGTGGAGACTAGTTGGCTTTGCCAGTTACACTAGAATCATTCTCATGTGGCAGCAATAACTTGCCGCAGTGCCAAGATTTTATTTCTAATGTGGCTGCGCCATCCAAGTTGTACTATCTAACAAGGAATTATAGTTAAGAAAAGCTGCACAACACATTAACGTATCAGTCTCTGAACTGGTACAAGTTATGCCTATATTGTATTCCAGTGTTAGCACACTGAAGCTCCTGCTGTGTGCATTGGACATGGCAACATAATAACCTCCAGACTTTCACAGTCATTTTCCAAACCAATTCACATTTCAAGGTTTTCAGTCCAACTTTCAGCAAGCTGATTTGTGGCTCTTTAATTTAAAGGAACACTAAAATACGATAAAAAAATGGACATATTACAAAGGTCTTTGACCACAGCGGCATGTCCAAGTTAATAAAAATCTGTACTTGCTGGTTTATATAACATCTAGATCTAAACATGCAAACTTAGCTTCTGCTCCCAGGTGCACCCTTTTGTTACCCTGAAATAGTCTCACTTCAGGGGTTTTTAATATAATTGGAGTAGATCTATTCCCCAGCACTTCTTTTATTTAGCAGGAGCAGTGGGCTGCAATTTATTTTATTTCCCCTCCAGATCACCTGCAGGTGAAAACTGGTACTGCTGCCAAATGTTAGTCTGGTAAGCAAATATAAATAAGAACAGAAAGCTGCAACAGTGATCTTCTACAACTCTCCAGTTTTACGTAAAAAAAATACCGATGAATTGACTGCATTAGATGTGTTGTCGTCAGCGGGGCTTAGATCACTGTAGCCCTCGGAAGAAGAGGCTGCAGGGACTGGTCTACCAGCCAAGTGATATCAAAGACCATGTGAGTTTTTTTTTATTTGAGCAAAACAAACGACAAACGCACTCAACAATTTGTTACCAGTTATACAGTAAAGTGCACACGAAATGGGAATTTGAGCCCCTAGAGAAAAACGAGCAGTTACCCGTTGCAGTGTGGAGGTAGCCCCACTGCAAGGGTTAACTCTTTTCCTGGAGTTCCTCGTTAAATATAGTGCCTACTGCACTTCTTCTGGGAAATAAGGGACAGCTCAAAGCTACATGTTTAAAACGTCCCCAAAAGTAGTGTTCTACCTTTCTTTTTTTTTGTAGTGCTTTATAAAAATATAAACTGATTAACCAACGCAAACACTTTTTATATGTTATCATGCATATAGTATAAAGATTCACAAAGTGTTAAGATGATCTTAAGAGACTGGTAAAGATTTGTGATTGCCAGCAAATATTGGGGTACATACCTAGTCCGGGTTCTACCACTGCAACCTACTACCATAGATGCTGAAAGCAACACCCCTCTGCTAGGATCTTTTAGACAGAACAGTTCCTCGTTTTAGTGCTCCTGACCTGGCTTGGAATGCTGTGACAGCATATACATAGGTCTATCAGAGATGACTGTATTTCTATGATCAGAATGCCGAGCATAAACTGGAATGAACGTAGCACTGGACATGCACCATGCAGAGTACATGCAAAAAGCAAAATTGCTTGGAATATGGAGCAAAGGTTTCTCCTGTATGTTTTACCAAATAAGAGACCAGATATACATGTGTATAGCCCTATTGCACAACTAACCAGTTCTTCACCCGTTTATATTTAATACCTGCTGTAAGATATAATTCAGGTTCTTTTTTTCTATGTCAGGGGCCCATCATTGACGGCGGTCAAACCAGATTATCATCACCATGATAACAATGACTGGCTGCATTTAAAGTCTGACTGGAAACTACAAAATGGATCAACCTTTCACGAACTGTTAATAAAAGGGTAAGAAATGTGCACACTGAAAATGATGGGGGGTCAGTAGTTAATGGCTTTGGAGCACTGACATCCTAGGTCCAGTTTCCACCAGAGTTCTAGTTGCATTGGATTTCAGTCCTCAAATCATACTAGTATACCAGGTTCAGACCAAATTGACCCAAGTATATTTTTGCCTGTATAGAGAGGACCTATGACTGTAAAGTGCATTGGAGACAGAAATTGATATAAAGTAAAGTACTGTATCATGTGTCATGCCACAGAACTTCATATTACAGTCCTCCTGCTTCCTTCTCTGCACATATAGTCGGTCCAGTATACAATATCTGCCTTGGGGTCCTACCACTTGTCTGCAGGAGATTTTCACACTGACAAGATCATTTATGATCCATGAAATGGTGGCCACTTGTGTTTAACCTCTGGAAATTACTCTTGTAAAAACATTCTGTGTCCCTTTATGAGTCTGCCTGTCTAAGTGGAAATGCTCGCAATGAAAATAGTCTAAAATGACTCGGTAAATTCCTTGGCTGTACATAACCAAGGTCCCCAGACTATCAACAGCTCGAGCAACAACATGAAATATAACAACTGCCAGCGAGCCAAACCATAGCTGGACCTACAGAGAAGGGGCTGACCTTTGCCATTCAGTGCATGTGGAACAGAAACCTATAGGCTATAAGTTATAGTGCCAGTTTATTTAATGGCCCAAAGTAGAGAATAGTGGGACCCTAATTTGCAGCTAGCCAGCTTTCTCTTCTCACAGTGCTCGGCGTGTTCGTTTATAATGTAGTTTTAAATGCCACATACAATATTAGACCACCAAAATCAATTTTCAAATCAACATCTTACTTTTTACATTTTGCATAAACAAAAAAACACCTTTCTATTTTTGACAAGGGAGCCCTAAAGTAATCCTATAGCTTTCAATGCAAAGCAAAGGAAAGCAAAGCAACAGGCCTGCATAGACCTCTCCTCACAGCAGTGTATACGTACCCTTCCCATGGCTTTGATCAGCTGCTGGGAGTAAATTATTGAAAACCTAAAAGTGGAAAAACTCTTTTAAGGCTTTCATGTTATTGCCCAGCTTGTAATTGCTGTTTACAGTTAGTCACAAACCTGAAAATGGACATAATTCTATCATGGTAGGCCTGCACTTTGGTGTACTTGAAGTTCATAAATGTTCTGAAAGAAACATAATTTACCTTTTTTTAATGATAAATGCAGCTGGGAAGCTGACTCTCTCTGGCACCCTACAAAACAGTGCTAGAGTGGGTGAGAGAGACTGAGCAGGACTTTTGCATAATTTCCCTAACCTTCTGCAAACAGAGCAATGTGCTGTCAATCTAAAGGGCTGTGGGCCAAGCTATCGTGGCTATTCATTGAAAGGGCTAGGCACAGTGACAACTGCTAAGCAGCTACATGCAACAGTAAGGGTAACAACTCTGCAGTGATTTCATTGCAGAAGAAGGAACAATGTCACCCTATCAAAGGAAGTACCTATATAATGGTTCTACTGGCAGGACCAAAAGGTTTTTGGAAAATTTTCCAAGGGGTACTTAGAAAACCAGATAGCCCTGTATTACTGCCATGGGCAGCCTACATCACATACGTGGTTTAAAGTTTGACCATAGTAAGTTTGCTCCCGCCTATCTGAGGTTGCTTATTTCTGCTTCAGAGAAATCTAAAAGTTGTTTTGCTGCCACATTACTCTTCACTTTGGTAATTAAAGGCCATTAGTTGCTTTATATAATGAACCTGAGCACAAGTTATTACAGCAGTTTTATAATATTAAAACAATATGTGATCAATGCCAGTAAATAAGTCCAAATAAGAGCTACTAGGCACTCAAGATAAATAATAAAAAAAAAAATCTAAAACATGTATAACAATCATGTGCCGAGCTAAATAAATATATACAATTCAGTGAAATATGTGATAACAATAAAATATATAAGTATATGCTTTAAAATATATACAAAAGAGCATATTAAACATGAAAAGATGTCAACAAAGTGATAAAAACAAAGTCCAATGTGCAACAATTGTACTCGTGCAAATAATTGCAGGGGGATAGTCCACCACTAGATAGATCCAAATGCCCAAGTATGCAGTTGCCACAGAATCCTGACAGACTTTCACCTCCACCCAGTGAATGCAAAAATTAGAACAGTT